TGTTGTTTGGTTACTCTTTATCGACTCCTCTGTCTCCTAGTCTCGATCCTATACCCGTTTGGAACGAAGAACCAAACTGATCTCATGTTTGTGTTGTGTCGTGTAGTTAGATAGATCAAATTGTCTGAAAATCCTCACAATCGCTATGCAATCCGGTGAGTTTCTGAACCCAGATGGGGGGTTTTCTCCATTTCCTCCTCTTTTGCCTTCAAATGACTAAAAGGCTAAATCTTTCGTTGTTTTGTTTGAATTTAGAATACGAAATTAGTACTCTGTACCAAGAAGCTCAGACCCGTTGGTTGAAACCGCCTGAAGTGCACTTCATATTGCAGAATCATGAAAGATATCAACTAACACATAAGGCTCCTCAAAAGCCAATCAGTAAGTTTGACTTTGCTTTCTTTTGGACTACTTGCTTGAGATGAAAGAAAATTGGATTTTGATACAAAAGAATTTCTCAACACTCTTGTCTCAGGTGGATCTTTGTTTCTTTTCAATAGAGATGTTCTTAAATTTTTCCGTAAAGATGGTCATCAATGGCGGAGAAAGAAAGATGGGCGAGCTATTGCGGAAGCGCACGAAAGACTTAAGGTGTTTAAGCAGTATTAGTGATAGTTAACTTCGAATTGTTGCTGCGTTGGTGGCTTTAGCAGTATTAGCTAACGCTTAAGATTGTTCCAGTCTCAGTGCTTTTGCTTTTAGGAGCTTTTCTTGAATGTACATGTATTCAAAATATTGTCTTTTGCCACTTTAGATATGCTTCTTAAGGTTATTAATGACTCTTTATATGTGTTGTGAACAGGTGGGTAACGCTGAAGCCTTGAATTGTTATTATGCTCATGGAGAGCATGACCCCCATTTTCAGAGACGTATCTACTGGATGCTAGATAAGTGAGTGATGTACTCACACTCTTGCGTCTGGATCTTTCTAATTTGGTTTCTAATCACAAATACCCTCTCTTTTGATGTGTATACAAAATACTCAAGTTTTATAACATAAAAGTTTATTGCTCTTTATGTCAGGGAATACACGCATATTGTCCTTGTTCATTACAGGGATGTTAGTGAGGGAAAAGAGGTGATTTCTCTATTAAGTATTATTTGTTATACTAATGCGGAACTTCAGTTTCGTTGTATGACCTCATGGTTGGCTTTAACTATTCAGGGAAAACAAACTAGTGGACATGTTTTGCAGTTTTCACCAGTTCCTGCGACTCTGTTTTCAAGTCCAAGCTCCATCGGGACTCAGAATGCGAGCTACAATCACCAGATTGGTGATTCTACTGACATACATCAGCATTCATCTAGCTCGCCGGGAATTGCAGAGGTTAACTCTGACGTTTTGTTTTTGAGTAGCAGAGTTGAGACCCCAGGAGGCAGTGGAAGTTCTTCCGAGTTTGAAAAGATGCAGGCTCTGAAGAATATTGAGAAACTACTGAGTATCGGAGATGACAATGTTAATACTGTAGATCCACTCTACAATCAAAAAGAAAGTTTGGATAGTCTCCAATTTTTAGAGTTCAGTACTAATGACATGGATCACGTTTCTCAACCAGCAACTGTGAATCACAGACCAGAGAGTAATAATAAACTAGAGAGATGTTATGGAGGGTATGTTGGAGCCCACTATAATGCTAATTCTGTAGATCCACTCTACACTCAAAAAGAAAGTTTGGATAGTCTCCAGTTTTTAGAGTCTACTATGGACATCAATAACCTTGCTCAACCAGCAACTGTACAACAGAGACCTGACAATAACAGACTAGAGAGATGTTACGGAGGGTATGTCGGAGCCCAATATCATTCTAACAATCTAATGCTTGTAAAGAATGATTCAGGTACGCCAAGGTTATATTACACAGCATTGGTTTTTGATACACATTTTTAATAATTTCTAACTGTAGCAGACTTTATACAACGTTTAGTTAGTTATATAAAGTAGCTTCCGCATGCCCTTAAAGTCTTGTCATGCTTTCTTCCTCCTTTGTCTCTGTATCATGTTGTCGAGACGCGGAATTAGAGTGTTAAAAAAAAAAAAACTCTTCTTACAGGTGGTAGTGGAGGGCATGTAGATCAAGAGTCTGAATCGTGGAAAGAGGTGCTGGAGGCATGTGATGCTTCTATAGCTCTTCACTCTGAGGTAACTCTCTCGTATAATTAAATGGAACGTGTGATCAATCTAGACAGACTATCTTGTATCTGTTAAGTAGTTTGCGGAAATAAGAAAGAACAGAAGGAAGCTGAAGGTGAATTTACCGAATAGCACATTGAAATATGTATAATGATAACGATTAACCTTCATACAGAGAAACACGGTGAATGAACCAGATGTGTTATGGTTTTCTTATCTCTAATGGCATATGAGGAGTAGATTTTCCAAACTAAGAAGTAAAAAAATTTATAATCTAGGAATTTATATACCTTTTGTTGGAAGCAGGGAAGCACACCAAGTTCTGCGAAAGGATTGTTACTTGGAATGCAGGAAGATTCCAACTGGAGTTACAACAATCAGGGTGACCAATGTATGGCAGCTGCCAATCAGGGTGACCAATGTACGGCATCTGCTTTGAGAAAGAATACTGTTAATCTTCTTACCTTGTTTATCGTTGGTCAGTTCTGATAGGTCTTTTAAATTTCAGCTACACTATTGTTGCCTCAAGAACTTGGTTCTTTCAACATTCCTGCTTGTTATTCTGAACTGGGAGCTCCGGAGAATAATGTCGAGTACTGTAGAATGATGGATGATGAAGGGAAAATCGGTCTGCCACTCGAGCAAGATATGAGATTAACAGTTGCACAAAAGCAAAAGTTCACTATCCAGGACATATCACCAGAGTGGGGTTACGCAAATGAATCTACTAAGGTCTAATCTCTTGCACCATACTTAGTATTTCGTTGAGATTCTGATCTATGTGGCAGTGTATAAAACTACTCCCATAATTGATATACATGAAAATTATGTTATTTTCTTGCCTGGTCAGAACAAATGTTGGTGATCATTTGGATTTTCCGTTTTGAAAATCTCATTTTGGCAATGCAGGTGATAATCATTGGATCCTTTCTCTGTGATCCAACAGAATCTACATGGTCTTGCATGTTTGGGAGTGCTGAAGTTCCTTTTGAGATCATTAAGGAAGGTGTTCTTCGGTGTGAAGCCCCTCCATGTGTCCCTGGAAAAGTCAATTTATGCATTACTTCTGGAGATAGACTCTCATGTAGTCAAATCAGGGCATTTGAGTATCGCGAAAAGCCTGACACATCTTGCCCTAAGTGCAGTATGCCACAGGCCTGCGACATGTCCACAAGTCCAGATGAGCTTTTATTACTTGTAAGGTTTGTGAAAATACTTCTATCAGAGCCACTATCAGACAGAAAAAGTAGCGTAGAGACGGGCATTGATAAGTTGTTGAAGAAATTGAAAGCTGATGATGATCAATGGAGCCATGTCATACAGTCGATTCTAGATGGCACTGCATCATCATCAAGAACAGTTGATTGGCTTCTACAAGAACTGCTTAAAGACAAGCTGGATGCGTGGCTCTCTTCAAGATCCCAAGATGAAGATCAAACATCTTGTTCTTTGTCAAAGCAAGAACAAGGCATTATTCATATGGTTGCAGGCCTTGGCTTCGAGTGGGCGCTCTATCCAATTCTTGGTCATGGAGTCAGTGTGGATTTTCGTGATATTAATGGATGGAGTGCTCTTCATTGGGCTGCACGATTTGGGAGGTGAGCATCCTATAAATAGTAGACCGAACATCTGACATTTCAACTATTTTTGTTCGAGTAGAAAATAGCGTCTTGATGCTAGGGACTTTCGTAGGTTTCTGGCATACTGGTCAGATGTTTTAGCATCATAAGAGTGGAAAGATTGTTTTCACTTGATCACTGTCAAAAAGAGTTTTAAGACGGCACCTTTCTTAGACAATAGCTTCAAAACGAATTACTGTATTCTTTGCTGTGGCAGTGAAAAAATGGTGGCTGCGCTTATAGCTTCCGGGGCATCAGCTGGAGCAGTGACGGATCCCAGTGCGCAAGACCCAGTTGGTAAAACTGCAGCTTCAATAGCTGCCTCTAATGGCCACAAGGGTCTTGCAGGTTATCTATCAGAGGTGGCGTTGACAAACCATCTCTCGTCGCTCACACTGGAAGAAACCGAAAATTCTAAAGACTCTGCTCAAGTGGAAGCAGAGAAAGCTTTGAATTCCATCTCAGAACAAAGTCCTCCCGGTAATGAGGATCAACATTCACTGAAAGACACACTGGCTGCAGTGAGAAATGCAGCTCAAGCAGCCGCAAGAATCCAGGCAGCTTTTCGTGCACATTCATTCAGAAAGCGACAACAGAGAGAAGCAGCTATGGCTTCTTGCTTACAAGAGTACGGGATCTATTGTGCAGATATCGAAGAGATCTCAGCCATGTCGAAACTGGCGTTTGGAAATGTCCGGAACTACCATACAGCAGCTTTATCTATTCAGAAGAAGTACCGTGGCTATAAAGGTCGAAAAGAATTTCTTGCGCTTCGCCAGAAAGTTGTGAAAATACAGGTATAATAACACAGCTTTAGTGAGATGAAGATCCCAGTAGCGTTTTCGCACCTCGTGCAGCTCTTGATTCGCTTCTATTTCTGGCAGGCTCATGTTCGAGGTTACCAAATAAGGAAGCATTACAGGGTTATCTGCTGGGCAGTAGGAATATTAGATAAGGTTGTACTCAGGTGGAGAAGGAAAGGAGTTGGGCTAAGAGGGTTCAGACAAGAGGTAGAAACAACAGAGGACAGTGAAGACGAAGACATCCTCAAGGTGTTCCGCAAACAGAAAGTAGACGGGGCAGTGAACGAGGCTTTCTCTCGTGTTTTATCGATGGCCAATTCTCCAGAGGCTCGCCAGCAATACCACCGCGTGCTCAAGAGATACTGTCAGACAAAGGTGAGTGAGTAGTTTGCAAGAGATGAATACAAACAAAGTTATACAATAATCATGGTGGAATGTTTCGCTACATAAGTTAGGATAATGTGATATGAATACAAAGTTAGTCCCGTTTCTGATTAATGCGTTTGCGCTGATATCTTGAATGAAAATTTTGCAGGCTGAGCTTGGAAAAACAGAGACATTAGGAACAGTTGGCGATGAGGATGATGGATTGTTCGACATAGCTGATATGGAATATGATGATTTGTTTTCGCTGCCTTGAGGGGAAAGTCAGG